CCAAATAAACACAAAAAAACAGAATATTAATTTGTTTAATTTTCCAATATTATTTTTAACAAATTAAATTAATTATTTACAACTAAAATGCTATTGGATAGTTAGGACAAACATACAAAATCTAAAGTAGTTGCTCAACATGTAAACCCAATTGTTCAATACACAATTCCCATCTACGAATGATCGAACGTTATTCAAATAAGGCCTTATTTTATCACATGCATTCCTGATTCTGTCTATTAGCAAATCTCTTGTGGTTACGGGAGTCGGGTACACTTTTTCTTTTAGAAATCCCCACACAAAGAAATCTAATGGATTTAGGTCAGGGGAGCGTGGAGGCCAGGCGACTGGTCCTCCACGGCCGATCCATCTTTCTGGATAATTTTCGTCCAGCCAGTTTCTAACTATTCTCGAATAATGAGCTGGACAACCATCAAGCTGGAACCAGGCCAATCTTCTTAAATCTAACATAACATCATCCCACATATTTGCGTGTTCAGCCTTTAAAAATTCCAAGAAGGTCGCAGCATTTAACCTTGCAGGCAAAAGGTAGGGTCCAAATAGTGGATTACGGTAGATACCAATCCACACGTTCACACTAAATTCATGCTGAAAATTTCTTTCCCGAACTGCATGCGGATTTTCATGCGACCAAATATGTTGATTATGAAAATTTACCACTCCACGTCTAGTGAAGCATGACTCATCGGTCCATAAAACGTTACTTAAAAACTCCCTATTATTATCAGTTCTATCAAGAATCCACTGACAAAATGTGATTCTTCGTTCTCCGTCCCCTGGCTGTAGTCCTTGCACAGGTTGCAAATGGTAAGGGCGTCTATGGTCATTTCTAAGAACACGGTGAACATGGCTTGCTGAAATTCCCAAGGCACCAGAAACTCTCCTAACACTTGTGGTCGGATCTCTATAACAAACTCACACAGAATCATACGGGTAAATCTGCGTTGACGAACATTTATGTTTTGATCCCCTTGGAGATTTTCAAAACCATTTTCAATTATTTGGCGATGCACTCATACAAATACTGAGCGAGTTGGATGTCGTCTGTTTGGAAATCTTCGTGCGGATTCTCTGGCTGCTTCTGCTGCGTTTCCATTTACAAAGCCATACACAAAATGAATATCCGCTAACTCTTGATTGGAGAATAAAAATGGCATTTTTATAAAACTTACAAAAAAAAAACAGGTAAAAGAAACTAAATTTCGTGCATTCACAATTGCAAAAAAACGTTTCAGGTTTCAACAGACAACAAAACTAACTGTCAACTAATTGACGTTTAACCTTATTCTGCTTTCAATTTCAAAAATATTTGCAGGCACAGCCTACTTCTAAAAATTATCGAGATTGTGACTTTTTAACGTTATTTTATCATAAATAATAAAAATGCATCGAACCTTAAAAATCGAAATATCTCAAAAACGGCTAACTATAACGAAAATTCACAAGAGAGATTTTTTATGTTGAAAAGTGCGAAGGATCAGTTTTTTATTCAAAAAGCAAAAAATTGTACTAAGAAAAAATTTTCGGTCATTTTAATACACTACAGGTAAAGTAGAGAGCGCCCTCTAGCGGCTACAGTAAAACTATGCCCATGGCTCGTTTTGTCGTACCAAAAAACCCTTGTATACCAATTTTCACTGTTATACATCAAATATTGTTCGAAATATTTAAAAAAACTATTTTAGAAAGTAAATTTAAACACCCTGTATTTCGGAAGCCACGCATTTTTCGACCCATGTTTATATAGACTTTATGCATTAATTTTAAAAGTTCTATCGAATCTTAAAGTTATGCAACAATAAACTGAAACACATTGTCTATCTCATTTTCAAACATTTTCGCGATCAGAATATTTCCCGCCAGTAGACGTGGGAAGTAAAAATCGAGTTGGAAAATTGTTCCTAGGAATGCGAGTCTTTCTCCTGGGCTAATAATCAGCTTTGTGTTCGGATTTTGCAGGGGACTATCCCATAACCATTCTAATTCTGCGTAGTGGGCATTCAGAACCGCTTTTCGATTGACTATTGCCAGAAGCTGAACCAGATCTGGTACACTTCTCTATTTTTCAATGTTTTGATTTTACTCTCCGTAATGGGTGGTGCCGCGTCCAAATTCAAAATCGCCAAAAAATATCGATGGGATGAGGAAATAAAATTGGTGGCCGTGTACTTCGAAAGAAATGGCAGTGACGGTAGCCCAGCTGAATCAAAAGAAGTCCGAGTGTCCAAAGAGAAAAGAAAAAATGGGGAAGAGTGGACGTATGTTACAAATGCGAATTATTCGAACGTCGGAGAAAGGAGTTACGGTACTTGGCGACGGTGCGAAGTTACAATAGTTAGTTACAGTGGAAAAAGTGCGGTATCAATAGTATCCAGTTTGACATCGCGATATCATCAACATGATGATCGCACACTAAGTGCATATTTAGGTATTTTAGTTTTTTCTATTTATACTAAGACTTGAAACAAAAATGTAACAGTTCTTCCAGTATTTTGAGAAAAGGTTCGTTTAATATGATGAGAAAATATGCTGCTTACGTAACTTGTATACAAAGCTTTTCAAAAAGGTCCACCAAACTTAGTGGTTTATATTGTTTTTATTGTTTACTTTGTGTCTTGATATTCTACGAATTAAGTGTGTAGGATACGAAAGAGATACGATAACAGCAATATAACGATAAACGTGAAAACATCTCATCTTAGAATATATCGAAGTACTGCCCCGTACCATTTCATTTTTACTGCATGGGCAGTACGTAAACAATTCGACATGGGCAACAATGTCAGGGTAATATTAAAGTCACTTACTTGGTGACGAAACGACAACGAGTTATCCTCTTTTGGCAAGCGATAAGGGCGATATGAACGGATTGTCGGGGCCAACACCTATTTTTAGAAAAAGACTTACGAGTATCTCCCTTATTCAACTGACTCATGACGTCACATGCGCAAATCTACTATTTACCGTTACATTAATGTACCCCAACTACTACTACGGATTCGTCATCGACTGAATCACGGGATCGTCACACAGACTAATCCTGACCTTCACACAGACTGATTATTAAGTCGTCACACAGACTGACTAGGAGTCGTCACACAGACTAACTCGGAGTTGTCTCACAGACTAACTCTAACTCTTTGGTCGCTGGGTTTATGGTCAGACGTGCTAAGTTTAACATTGCTTAAGACATTCATGACCATGAATATAAAAGTATTATGGTTATCAATCCGTGCAGTACAGTAGAATAAAGGAAATACTCAGTGATTGCTCACCTTTCAGGTAACCAAGACACTACACCCAATAGCACATCGACACTGTAATCAAGTTCACAAAGCGCACTACACTTGGTCTGAGAAGCGATCTCCTCCACGCAATAATTGAACTGCATCACCGTCCACGCCCGTATCTTTAACAAAGTTTATCCTGGGAACGAGTACCCAGAGAAGGAATGGAATGTATAATGTAAACAGGCGTAAGGGCTGTCGCGCTGAGTGACACTACGCAGCCTTGTGAACCTTCTGGAAAGGTTTTGTGTGCTACAGGGTTGGACTCGCACGCAAAAAATGTGTTTGAGATATTTCTTAAGCTTACTAGGCCCACTATTATTTAGTCTCTACTTAAATGACTTATTCAAAATTAACAGTTCTGGAAAGATTATATGTTTTGCAGATGACACCCTCGTATTATATAAAGCTGATGACTGGAGCACACTGAAGCAAATAGCTGAACAGGATTTTATAAGGATCATTGACTGGTTTGATACTAAAATTTTAACAGTTAACTTCAAAAAAACAAAATTTATTGCATTTACATCCTATTCAAAATTTTTACCTACCTTCGAACAAATTTCCGTTAATTATCATGGCCAAAAGACCAAAATCGATAGAGTTAACACTTTGAAATATCTTGGAATATTTATAGACTCACATCTAAGGTGGGATAACCATATTAAATATGTTATCAAAAAAATTAGAAATGTTGCCTATAAACTCAAAATGCTTGCTAAAATTCTTACAGAAAGTTATCTGCGAATCCTATACCATGCCTTAGTTGAAACCCATATAATATACGGCAACACAGCCTGGGGTGCCGCCTGCAAGACATATATTTCTGACCTGAATATAGCACAAAAAACTGTTTTGAAAGCCATTTTCCATAAGCCAAGATTATATTCAACGAACAACTTATATCAAAAAACAGGGATACTTGATACAAGACAACATGCCACCACCTTATACCATAAGTATTGTAATAAAAAGAAAAAATCCTATAAACACGAGCATAACACACGATTTCGAATAGGCTCATCTAATATCCAAAGATCACACAAAACATTATTCAAAAAATCATTTAAATTCTTAGCAGCTAAATTATATAATGTAGTACCAAACGAAATAAAGATACTTAATTTTGTAAAAAAAATTAGAAGAAAATTGAAAGACTGGGTAGTAATGTTGCAGCGAATGACTATACATAATTATATAGAAAACTAAAACTACAAAATTCCAATTACATTAATACCTTTTAGATTTAACAATAATTGTTATAGACATATATGATTGATTGTTAGTTATTCAGATATAAACCACACACAGGCGATGCCTTCTGTGGTTTTTTCATATTTATTTGCCCATTTTTTGTATTTTGGCGAATAAATATTATTATTATTACAAGTGGTAGAATAGCTTATGCAAAACTTCGCCCAACAAAGACGTTTTATTATTTTATTATTATTATTATAACTTTATTGAATCAGTCTCACTTTTGTCTGTCAGGTCAGGTTTGCTCGGTAATAGATAAAGTCAGCAGAGGAAGAAGAAACAAAGTAAGGGAGAAAGAAAAGAAGAGGAAGTGCGTACTTTTGAGGAGGGGCTTGCATTGTTGATTAGAATTACAAAAAGGTTAAATTGCTCTAGGACATTGTTTTTAAAATCAACGATGAATTGAATGTTTACTTCATCCTTTTCGTTTTCCAGACGTGTACAAGCAGCATGAATCCCAAGCAAAAGAAGAGGGAAACGCCAGCAAAGCGCGCAGGTTCGGCCGGATAGTGAAACAGTACGAACAGGCTATCAAACAGTACAAAGCCGGCAAACCAATCGCCGTAGATGAGCTGCCTACTCCGCCTGGATACGGCCCCATTCCCGTAGAAGGGGTACCAGCAGCAGCCCCTGCGCCTAAAGCTAAACCCCAGGTGCCTGCGTCGCCATCCACCAGCAGCGCTGGGGACCCTACTACTAGCGGTGAGGGTGGGGCTAGCCCGGGACAGAGGAAGTCAGGTTAGTGGTGCGATGAAAAGGTTAAAATAATGACCAAACTGTGTTTTACGAAAATGAGGTCTTACAAACAGGTTATTTTCCTAAAGCCTGGAACCAGTCTTTTGTTCTTCCTTTTTATAAACATTCTAGCAGCATTCTACCGTTTTAGAAAAGATAATATACAGGGTGTAAACGTTATGGTAGTCATTATTGAAATAGGTAATAGGAGGGGTCAAAACACGTCAGAAAGTTCATATGACCCATGGTCCAAAAGTCAATAGATGTTTGTCTGAATGGCTTTATAGTTTACAACTTTAAGTGCTTTGTATCGACCACAATCACCACAATCTAATCTAAAACGTTTTTAAACTTTTCCAAAGCTTTTGATACGATAAACCATTCCTTAATATTAGCTAAATGTAGGTTTTATGTGTTTTGTGAAACTGCACTCAAAATGATGTCCAATTGAACATGTGGACGTTCGATAAGCTGTGAAAGCCCTATAAGTTCTGGTGCACCTCGGAGATCTATACCTGGGCCACTCCTGTTTCTCTAGTACATTTCCGATCTAGATACAGTGGACCTCCGGTAATCCGACAAACATTATGCAGGGCAGTGTCGGACTATCGAATTTGTTGGATTATAGAGCACTGCCTAAGACCCCGTATAGTCCGGAATTTTTTACAAAAGAGTAACTTGTAATCCGACAAATTACATATCCAATGGTAAGGTTATATATGTTATGTATATGTATGTACTTTGAAGTACAAATCATACATAGTTTGTGTATGTCGAATTTAGTAAATTAAATAACAATAGAGAGCTTACGTTTTATTATAAAATTAAGCATAAATGCACATACATGTGTACCAAAATAATCAAGAATTATGAATCAAAATCATTAATGAATTTATCAAATTATGAAGCTTGGACATATTCATCAATTTTTTTTTTGTTTAAGGTTGTTATAACGCGAGATCATAGCTTTGTCCCTCAGTCTTCTCAAAAGTAAAAGTTCGTTGTAGGATGTACCATTCTCTTCAGCCCATTGTAACCCTAGCTCAAAGGCGTTAGTTGCGTCTTGTCCTGTGACTTGTGGAGCAGTTGCAATCACGTCTTCGTTATTTTCCTGATTGTTTGTTGTATAATTAGAAACCTCTCTTAAAATCTCTTCGTCAGACATTTCATGAAAAACAATTTCCTCTTTATCCATTTCACTGCACCAGATTTCCAAATCTTCCGGACTTATCTGTGTTTCTGTAGCGACTTTCATATTAAATTCTTTTAAAGTTTTTTCAATTGGTTGGTCTTTTGATACGGCTCTCAGAAGTAGGTTTTTCTTATAGTCTTGCTTGACAAACTGAATGATATTCTGGTCCATTGGTTGAATCAGTGCAGTGCAATTTGGCGGAAGAAACATCGCAGTGATGCATTTATCCTCAGTTGTTAGTTCTTCTTCAGACGGATGACCGGGAGCGTTATCAAGAAGCTACAACGCTTTTTGAGGAAAATTATGATCCTTTAACCATTTTCTAACTTCAGGTACGAAGCATTCATCAAACCACTTTTGTCATCTATGCACCTTTTTGTCCGTAATAGTTTACAGGTAAATCAATGTTTTTGAATGCCCATGGTTTATTAGATTTCCCAATGACCATCATCTTAAGCGCGTGTGTGTCCGCAGCGTTAGCACATGGTAGTATGGTTACAAGCTCTTTACTTACTTTTCGTCCAGGTACGGATTTTTCGTTACAAGAAACGAAAGTTTTGTTAGTCATCACACGCCAAAAAAGCCCTGATTCGTCTGCATTGTACACCTGTAACAGGTCAAGATTTAAATCGTTCACCTTTTGCAAAAATCTTAATTTAAAGGGCTGTATACAGGTGGCATCGTTAGAAAGTTTCTCTCCTGTAATAGTCATTAAACGTATGCCATGACGACTTTTAAAACGTTCTAGCCATCCTTTGCTGGCCACAAAATCATCTTTTTTTATTCCCTTATAAAAAAACTTAGCTTTCATGGCCAACATGGGTCCTGAAATTGGTGCATGCCTATTTCTTTCCTGAAGAAACCACATGTACAAAGCTTCTTCCACTTCTGGATGTTCAGCATTCTTGAGTGTCTGTCTCTTGCCTGGCCCGCAGTCAGTGGTTGACGAACTTCTTGATCTTCTCGTGGTTTCTTTTAATATCATAAATTGTAGATCGGCCTACGCCGTATTCACTTGCTAAACTACTGAAAGTTTCATTGCGATTTAAGCGGTCTAAAATATCACATTTTTCTTTAATTGTCAATGCTTTGTGCTTTCGCTTCTCAGTTTGTGATGACATTACTAGGTACTATACTTAATACACAATGAATAAATAGTAAACAATGAACGCACGCTAGGCCTTACCGCTATCACAAGTAGTCAATTTCAAACTAAGTAAAACAATGCTTACGCGTCGAGCACGATAGCGGTGGCACGTACAAGTTGTAACCTGTTCAAACCTGCGTGATCTACATTAGCGAAGATTGTCAAATACGTATGTATGTAATATTCAAAGACATGTCGTATTACAGGGGGTGCCGGATTATCGGGGGTCCACTGGAGATCGGTGAAGCATTGCAGTGTACAAACAAATATCTCGAAAACTATTTGCTTTAGACGCGTCTAACAAGTAAACCTTTTTTGTAGAAGTACGAGAAAATAAGATTTTTCAGTCGGTTTTTGTGTACAGGGTAGCACAAAAAAGTTATGATAAGTTATTTACCGAAATAGTGCTGTAAGTGTCACCCTCTAGACGTTTCGCCATAAAAAAATAACGGATTGTTGATTCTCATACTAGAAAATCTCTCTATACCGATTTTTTTGCCAAAACCTGAAATACTTCTCAAGCAAAAAGAAAAAATAGAAAATAGAATTGTAACTTTGACACCCTGTATCTCGCAAACTATCAACTTTTGGACTAAGGGTCAATTCACACATTTTGGTCTGTAGTATCTCCAGTTTCGAGATTTCCCAACCTTTCGCAGACAGTATATTCCAAGATTTATGTTATCCAGGTAACCACGTGTCTACAACTCACGCCGAAAAACAAGTCTTAATCCTATTGGCTAAGCAGAAACAATTTAAACAGGCAGCTTTGAATGCAAAAAAGAAAGGTGAGATGATGGAGGCCAAAGAGTTCCTGAGACAAGCGAAAGGATTTGACAAGTTGATAGAAGCTGCTAGAGCTGGTCTGCCCGTAGATTGGTCTTCTATACCTGTGTCACCTGAAGCTAAGTCACAGCTGGACAACGAGTGAGTGTAATAATCTTGTTTAACTACACTACTCAAAAAAATTAAGGGAACAAGAAAAAATCCAAATCGGTACTGTTCGGTGAAAATGGTCGTATCTAGACTCTAAAAAAGCATTTTGAAGCTTCAAAATTCTAGTTTTCAGGCTTTTTAGCTGAACAATTTTAGGAGCAATGGTTCTCATGCAATTCTAATTAGCACAAGAAAAAATGTTTGCAAAACTGTTTCCTGCTTTTTAGTCCACGGACTTGAAATTTTTTTTTCTGTTGGGCCATCATATGGTCATTGAATATATTGAAGAAAATAAGATATTGACAAAATTTCAAGCAGGATTCAGAAAAAAGTATTCTACTGAAACAGCAATTCAAATGGCAGTAGAAGAATGGAGGCGAAATATGGATGAAAAAAGTTTACAGTAACATTATTCTTAGATTTCAAGAGAGCATTTGAGACTATTGACAGGCAGAAATTGTTAACGAAATTGCATTGCTATGGATTTCAAGGGTCAGTATTCAACTTATTACAAAATTATTTAATCAATAGAAGTCAAAGAACTGAAATTGGCAATACATTATCAAACATTAAAAACATTTCGGTAGGTGTGCCACAGGGTAGCAAATTAGGTCCATTACTGTTTATTTTATATATTAACGATATTCCTGATATTTTACAACACTGCAAAATTCAACTATTTGCTGATGATACATTAATATAGGTGTATATATCAAATAAAGACATTGAAACTGCAATAGAGCTGTTAAATAATGATATGAAAAACATAATAAATAAATATTCAGGAAGAAACACTTAACTGAAACGGCAAGACAAATGATTTTAGAGGACTGGAGATGATGTATGGACAATCGGAAACATACATTAACAGTGTTTTTGGACTTCAAAAGAGCCTTTGAGACTATTGACAGCGATAAATTAATTACAAAATTGCATCACTACGGATTTAAAGGATCTGTATTCAAAATTGTACAAAGCTATTTAATTGACAGAAGTCAAAAAATATTTCTGTTGGTATACCACAAGGTAGTAAACTAGGTCCACTACTATTTATTTTATACATTAATGACATTTGTAATATGTTAGAATATTGTAAACTTCAGATATTTGCAGATGATACATTAATATACATATCAGATGAAAATATAGACACTGTTTTAAAAATGCTAAATTCTGACTTTGCAAAAATCGTAAATTGGTTAAATGTGAATAAACTAAAATTGATTACTTCTAAAACAATATGTATGCTAATAGGGAAATACCTAAATGCAAAATACTATCACAGTTAGGATAAATGGAGAAATAATTGAAAATGTTGAATCAATTAAATATTTAGATATATATATATATATGTATACAGGGTGTCCGCAAAGTTGGGGTTTTCCTTTTCAGAAACAACTACCCTTGAAATAACAAAGGTAATGTGTAGTGAAACGAGGGCGACCAAGTAAAAAAAATAAAGGAAAAAGTACTCACTCTCCAGTTGACGAGAAGGGCTAAGTACGTCTCTGCCCGAAATCATACCGCTCCAACAGAAAATGAAATCAGCTGAAGCGCTACCGAGCAGACGCAGAAACCACATTGATTGTCTTACACTTAATGGCACATCTTCTAACAAGGAAGGCAAAATGTTGCGTGAAAAGTCTAGGTATTGCATCCTGTCCAATCGATTTGGGAGAATAAATGGTCCAATGAGCATACCGTTCACCATGCCAGCCCAAACATTCACCGAAAATGTTTGTTGAAAATGACCAAACATGAGTGTTGCGAAAGTTATTCACCCCATTACGCGTGAACGTAGATTCGTCTGTCACCAATATGCACTTCAAAAAGTCCGGATTATTGTCATGTTGATGCAACAACCACTCACAAAACCGCACTCTTGCTGGAAAATCGTCAGGTTGAAGGGCTTGTACACGTTGGACGTGAGACGGATACAGCCCCTCTTCACGCAGCGTTTGCCACACTTTAGTTTTTGATACTTGCACTTTAGCCACGTCTCTAGTGCTTGTTGTTTTTTTGAAACGCAATCGATTATACGAGTTCGTTTACCTCTACACGCATGACCGACCCCGACCCAGTTCTGCCGTCGGGTTGAAACCTTGTAACAGTCGGGGATATCGCGGCGGGTCGCGGCTACAGGACGGTATTCAGATATTTTTGATGTTGCAGAGCCCTTTATCTCGGTTCCCTTAAGACATTGGTGTATATGGTACTAAGAAAAATTGCTTATGTTTTCAAGATCTACACGTCGTGTAAAGGAAAACCCCAACTTTGCGGACACCCGTATATATATATATATATATATATATATATATATATATATATATATATATATATAAATATTTATAGTAAAGTTTGACGATCACTATGAATACATTATTTCAAAAATTACCAAAAAAAAACAAATTACTTTTATAGAGCTTCTCATAGTCTTGGTAACTATTCCAAGAAAATAGTTTATAATACAATTATTCTACCGCATTTACAGTATTGTTCAACTACCTTGTTCACTGCAAATGAAGCTCTATTCTCAAAATTACAAGTCTTGAAAAATAAAGCTATGAGAATAATATTGAATAAAAATAAGTGCACCAAAATTAAATCTATGTTACAAGAATTGCAGTGGTTGAAAAAATTTCATATCATATTTGGTTCTTATTTTTATATTTAACATAAAAAATCATCTTTTGCCAGAACATTGAGAACACTACATAGAATCGAATAATCATTACCACAATTATTATTCAAGAGGAAATATAGATTTTCATTTACAAAATTGCAATAGTAATATAACTACCAAATCAATATTTTAGAAAGGATTACTTGAATTTAATAAACTAAATAATGATATAAAGTCTACTATATTTCATGGACAATGAAGAGTGTTAGAGATGCAAATTTTGTTTTTTTTCTGAATGTCCGTATGTTATGTAATTGCTTAGTTTTTTAGAAGAATGTAATTGTAGCAATCATGCTAAATAAATCTTAAAACCAACAAACACAAACATAGTTCTTATTTGTTTTTGTGAACAGACACACCAAAAGGGAATCATATATATTAATTTATTTGCAAATAAGACAAACTACTTAGGCATCTGCTTTCCCTACGTTGTAACCAAATGTTCTCATAATAAAGGAAATCTTTGCTAGTTGAGTAAGCAATTGGTCTATATGATTAGTAAAATTCAATTTATAATGATTCTAAAATTTGATGGTGTCTGTTTTTGAGTATCAACAACTAGTTTGTAATCAGGGTCCGACAATGTTGAAAGACTTATTTTTATTATTTTTGTTAAAAAATAAACAAGACAACTAAACGATGAAATTTGATCCAGATATAACATTGCAATGGCCGAAGAAGCAACTGAAGAAAGCTTAGCTGATTTTGACGTATTGGCACGATTAGAAAACCAACTACAAAAACAGTTGAAGATGTGCTTATCGACCAGAGACCACAACAGGGCTTTGGGCGATGTTGCTGGGACAAACAGATTCGAAAGACTCGCATTGAACGTCACCAAAGATTTGGATGTCTTAAGGTCTGTGACGATTTGTTGCGCATTTTTTATGTAATTTTTATTACAAAAAATAACCGGTTAATTGAATAACAGGCTTTTTGAAATATTACTAGATAAACAGCTGTTCACCGTACCGTAATGGATTCTCAATGTTAACCGGTTATCGGATCAAAAAGTTCAATAAAAAAGGTTATTTTTGTTTTTTATCTACAAAAATCAGAATGCCCAACTACCCCTCTCCCCTCCGAAATGTATATCTGCCTGAAAATGACTTTGGCGACCACCACTTCACTCAGCGTCTTTGACAGATTCCTATCCCTACCACTGGTTTAAGTTAACTGCGTAACCGGTTAAATTTAATTCAGTTAACGGATGAAGGTTAAGGTTATTGGAAAAATAACCACTTTTTTTATTCTATCCTTTTACTCGCATTGTGTTGACTCAAATTTTGGTTTAAACCGTAGGATGGCGATAAAAACTTCAGGAGGCGCTGTTCCAAAGTTCCACTATGAAACGAAGGAGTTTTCTATTGTCAAAAGTTTCACGGACATTCCTGACAATTCTATGGAAGTCACAATTCATCGAGGCATTAATTATCAAACTGAAAATCCTAAAGAAATCGACACTTATGTTACGATTGAATTCCCCTTCCCACAGGTAAGAATCGGAAAAACGCATTCCTGCACTTTTTACTTCCCACGCCATCGGCGAGAAAGTATTGTAATCGCGAAATGTTTCGGAAAAAATTATATAGGTTTTTTGCACGTTATATGACATGTACGTCACAAAAAACAATGCTAGTCATTTGGCACGTCTCTAACCTGGGAAATACTTCTCGAATTTGGATGACATTTTTACACAAGGTCACCACTGTGCCAAGGACGAAAAGGTTTTGAAAATTGGTCCGGTGAGGGCGTAGAAAAAGGCCAAAAACAAAAAAAAAGAAAATTTGCTCAAACTTCGTTTTTTGGCGTTTCAGATGATCCTGATCATTTTCAGAAAAAATTTACTGGGGTTAAAATTGGATGTTGGGGGTTGTAGGGGGTGGGGAAGAGTATAAGTTAATTTTTTTATTATACGCACCTATCAGGCATTTTTCATGCATCATAGATTCCTCCGTACAATTTCCATTGAAACATGAATAATAAAGATATATGAGTTCTGTAAATTAAGGTAAATGAGACTTGCAACGTAGCGTTCTATCTGGCAACACTGGAGACGCCGGGCTTGGATGGGAGACAGGGAGCATGTGATGTGCCTCAGTACAAGTTTGAACTCGCTCGAGTTATTTTGTTGTCCGTAGCGATTTTTATGTGAAACAGTTTTTCCTATTGTTTTCTAAAAATGAATGAACTCAATTTGGAGTAACGGTGTGCTATCAGGTTTTGCTTCAAACTTGGGCACAGTGCAACAGAAACTCTTGCTAAGGTTTTTCGGTGGTTTAAGGCATTTTTAGAAAGAGGAGAGTCGATTGAAGATGAACCACGAAGCGGAAGGCCTCACGATAATGCTCCTTATCTCACAGAAATGTAAGAAAACGAGGTTTTGGCCAGTAAAAACGTTCCTATGGCTCATTCTCCTGACTTGAGTCGTTGTGACTTTTTTCTCCTCCCGAAGTTGAAAAATCACTTCAAGGGAACAGCCGAAAAACATTCAAACGGCTGTAACCGACCAGATGAAGGCGATTCCAGCATTGCTATGAGGAGTGGAAGAACCTTCTCCAACGCTGTGTGGCTTCAGAAGGAAGTTGTTTTGAGAGAGACAATATAAAATTGTAATTATATTAAAATTAAAAAAAATCATTCTCATCAGTTAATTTACAGACCTCGTATTTTCGATATACGCGTGCCGGAAAACTCAACGAGCGTGCGTCTGTCGAATGCCGAGGGATAACTGAAACACTGAATAATAATGCGTGTATAATATCTGTATGCAACGCCGTGCTGGGTTGCCACGTTCTTGGCTGGTCGGTACTTCGGTAGCGCGATAGGCTATAACTATAACTATCTAAAACTGTAATGACTCATCGATGTTCACGTGAACATCACTTAACTACCAGTAGTCGGCTGTTCATAGGCGGGGTATGAATGTTTAACATGGGTGAACTAGATTTGTCACATGCTTAATAAAGAGTGGTTTGAAACATATTGTTAGTCAAAAATTTGGGAATTACCTTTATTCATCGTCGCTTCCACTTACATCTGACAGTAATAAACTGTCGCTATCGCTTTCCTCGTTGAAATTGACTATAACTGGCTCTATGATGGCGTCGATGTGGTGGTCAAGCTGCCACATTTTTGTTTCTTCCTTCACAACATGACGGATAGCATTCTGCCAAGCTTCGGGCGTTACTAGCTGTATGGAAGTCTCAAGTAAAACATTAACGTCTGGTAATTTGAAGGTTGTGTTATGACGCGCAATATAACCCTTCACTTGAGCCCAGATGAGCTCTATTGGGTTCAGTTCACAGTGGTAGGGCGGTAACCGCAGCACAGTGACACCACATTGACGGGCCATCTCATCAGTCACGTAACTAATGTTCGCAGGTTTGTGCTGTTTAATTTTTTCATACAATTCCGCTTTCACACCTGAATCGTCAAACGGGATTCCTTTTTCGCGCAACCATTACTGCATGTCACTTTTTCGAGATCCCATAGTCGGTACACGTTCGGCTCGACGACTATGGCAGGAAGCATTATCCATGACGATCACAGAGTTGGGCTCAACTCGCTGAAGCACCCCTTGAAACCAGCTCTCGAAGCAGCTGGCATTCATTTCGTCATGGTAATCACCTCCTTTCTTAGAGACGAAAATCAAGTCACACTCTTCTAAAAAGCCACTATCGCTACCAATATGAGTTACGATTAATCTTTGACCTTTCCCTGACGGTCTACGAAGACCTGTTGACAAACCTTCAATGCTTGCTTGTCGGTTACTCACTGCGTTTTTGTCTATCCAGGTTTTTTTAACTGTGTGACCTGCATTTACCCATGACTCGTCCAAATAATAGATTTTTCTGCTTTGTCGCCTATATTCAATCATTTCGCGTAGGTATTTTCGACGCCAGGCGACTATTTCAGGTCTCTCTATCAATACTGACTTCCGATTACGCGTTTCGTAACGAAAATTAATTACCGTGCAGGGATTTCCTCATTACCTCGACGCTCATTTGGGGTATAATTTCATTTTCCTTAATCGCAGCATATACAGCCTTGAGGGTTGGTATCTCATTCCTAAAGAAGAATGAACGTACGGTTCGCCTTAACGCCATTTTGCTATCGTCATCCAATTTAACGGCCTTTCGTCCCTTCAAATTAAACTTTGGATCAGTAGTAGCTCCAGTTTTCTTCTTTTCATGCACCACCCTGCGAATGGTCCACTCTGGAACGCCTATCATACTTTCACAACGCGCGAGTGCATCTCCCTGCGACATAGTTCTGTTCAGATAATTGAACTCGTTGAGCACGATTTCTTTCGCGTCCCTCTTCAGTGCTTTACGAAGCCGTCTACTTGTTCCCTGGCTTTCAGTACTTCCACTCGTGCCATTTGTACTCTCCATGGTTAAGTATAACCAAAACAGTAACCACAGAAACCACAACAATAACAATTACACAACAATTCTTATAAAAACACACAATATGCGATCGCTCAACGAAACACGTTCCAATGCGTTGCCGACGCCTATGAGTCTGCCGGTCGAGGCGCGTCTTTGATTTCATTGATTCTACCGGCGGAGAGCAATCAGCCATTATTTCCATATCTGTCTGTGCTGTTGACCACCGCAAAGCCACAGAAATGACATATGTCGTACGCTATACGGCTGTACTGGAAGGAAGCCGGGATCGAGCTCTGATCACATGTAGATCACGCGTATGAGTCATTACAGTTTTAAATAGTTGTAGTATAGATGGACTAATTGTATGAACCGGTTTAACTGACCTGATCCATTTAGTTTCTGAGCGAGACTAGCTAGCTGGAAAGGTCAACCTTCATGGCGCCGATTTTCTTGGCTGTAATGGTTTTTGATGGTGTGTACTTTGTTCGCGAAAGATTGATTTTTTTCATAGAACTGTTGGATAATAAACACGCGTTTTGTTTTTGCAGGATACACCTTTCACAGGCCGAACGGCCACAATCAAAGACACTAACAATCCTAGTTATAACAAAACTTTCGTTATTCCAATACAAAGGAATTCCAGACAGTGTCAGAGAGTATTTAAGAGGCATGGTATCAAGTTTGAAGTGTATTCTAAGGGGTAAGTGTTTAGATTTTTTGTGCTTGTGTGCATGGGAAATCGTGTGGTAAATTTTATTTAAACGGGGGGATAATTCGTACAGATCACAACCACAGATTTGAATCGACAAATCTAGATCAGACGAATCATCACTAACCGTAACCATTAACATATTCTGCAAGATACCCCCATTTTCATAATACTAATTGTTGGGATGAAATATATGCAAACTAACTAAAAGGTGCAATTTGCAGATGAGATTAGTACAAATTTAATATCGTGTTATATCTACATTGTGAATGATCACAAGTTCACACTTTGCAAATCTCACTTACTACGAGGGATGTCCTTTAAGTTTTGCATATGGAAATAAAACAACGCGGTAGGTAGTTTTAAATGACTTTATTGTTTTTCGAAGTATTCTCAACGAAGATTAATACACATCTGCATACGCTCGAACCAATTTTCGAAGCACTTATTCCACTCGTTTGCTGGCAGATCCAAAACGGCATTTTTGAATGCGTCAACTGCTTCTTCTGGTGACTGGAACCTTTGACCACGCAGTCTGTTTTTAATGTTCGGGAAAGTAAAGAAATCCACGTTTTCTTCCGTTAAATACTGCCTTGTTTTTTGGGCTGTGTGCGAGCTTGCATTGTCTTAGTGGAGGATGATTCTTCTTTCGGGGTTGATTTTTCGAAGCTCGGTGATGACTTTCGGCAAACAAATGGTTGTATACCAATCCGTAGTAACAGTTCTTTGTTTATTAAAAGGATTTGTTGCAATATGACTCGCTTTTGACACAAATGTCGCGACCATCTTTTTCGAAACACTTCGAGAACGGATGACTTTTTTTTGGTTTTTCTTCACCTTGGAACATCCGACTGTCGTTTACTACTAACAATGCTGTACACATTTTTTGAGTTTCCGAAATTGAAACGGTCAAGCGTTTTTTGACACCAATTAACCCTGGCTGCTTTCTGCTCGTCAGTCAACAGGTGGGATATCCAACAAGAAACTAATTTTCTTATTCCTAATTCTTCATGGAAAAGTTTTTGAATTGAGGTCTTTGAGATCTTCAAGGACGCCTCAATCTCACAATATGTCACATGTCTATCTTCAATGATGAGTTTACGCATAGCATCGACGTTTTCCTGGGTGACTGCCGTTTTTGGTGCACCCACCCTGGGATCGTCGCTAAGACTCGCCCGTCTACGTTTGAATTCTCCGTACCAACAGGAAATTGTCGACTGATGTGGCGCTTCAATGCCGAAAACAGACACTAACTCAGCAAGGCATTCTTGTTGCGATAATTGTCTCTGAAAGTTGTAATAAATTATGGCGCGAAAATGTTCTTGGTTGAGTTCCATTTTTCTAATGACTTGGTGACACTTAAAAATTCGCTGTAGTGAGAACACTGTGTTGTGAAACTTTGAATTTAAGTTTACTAAAGAGTGAGGTTAAGATTCAGTACTGACGTTCGATCCGCGCGGCCTACTATGTTTCTATATGCAAAACTTAAAAAACATCCCTCGTACATAATATTCTGATTCGGGTTATTCGTTCATCTATGGAAAGTATGGAAAAAGGTTGACGTTCGACTGTAACTAATATAGCTTGTTTTCGTTCATCACGCATTTTGTTTTTGTGTTGTTTGTTGCTTTTTAGATTCTTAGTATTGGCATCTTTGATCATGAAATTGTCTCAAATACTTGTATCATCAATTCATCTAAAGTATATTCAGATAAGAGATAGACCGGATGTAAACAAAAGGTTCGGGTGATTTTCACGCTAACGCCGCCGTCTCGACGTAAAACAGGAGCCCTCATTGGTCAATTCGCAATTAAATGCCTATGCCGAGCGGCAGAGCAGTCGTATCAAGGCAGAGTCACATTCAGGTTCAGACGTGTTACGTATGTCGTGTGCATCATTGCAATTTGATATTTCTTTGGACGTTTTCGTTTGTTATCTTATTAAGTTGTTGAGTTTGTCGTTGTTATTGTTATACCTTGTTATTGATTGTTATTGTTATCAACTGCTTGCGCAAAATGCCCAGTAGTACAGATACTGCCGATGAAGTTGTAAACTCCTGTAGTCCACCTAGGAAACGCTCTAAAAAAAGACACCTGAGTGCAGAAATGAAAGAGGTCATTCTGAATATATATAAGATCGAGCGCGAGGAGAACGAGGCATCAACTATCAAAGAAATTGTTGTGAAGGTTTCTCACAAAGTTGGGGTGTGTCGCGCATCAGTGTTTAATGTGTTAAGACAATACAAAAAAAATCACACCTTTTCTGAGCCAATGATCTAGTAAACATCGCAAAAGTATTGTTAAATCATTGGATGAAGCTGATAAGCATGCGATTAGGAGGAAAGTGCTTGAATTCTTCTTTAGGAATGAAATACCTACTATAGATAAAGTACTGCAGGAGGTAAATGGAGATACAACGTTGCCAAATTTCAAACGATCAACTTTCCATGCGTTACTGAATCATTTACATTTCAAATGGAAAAAATTGTGCTATGGAGGAGGGATTATTTAACAAAAATTGGGAAATATAGAAATCAAAACAGGAAGATTTATTACCTTGATGAAACGTGGGTAAACGCAGGACACACTACAAGTAAAGTATGGGTTGATGATTCTGTAACTTCATCCAGGAGGGCCTTTCTAGATGGACTGTCCACCGGATTAAAAAATCCAGCAGGTAAATACGAGTAATAGACAACAATCGAATGTTTTTCAAACCTTGGGAACAAGATTCTAAACATTAATTCCAGGGGGCAGATAAAACATATTACAAGTAACAAAACTTTTATAACTTTCGATAAAATGCGTGGATGTTTTATTGTCATTTTCCTTTGTTAGAACTTTTTTAAGCCATGTTTTTATGTGTTTTCGATATTTCAATAATTTTTTAATATAATCTTAAAATATGTCGATTATAAACTTAAAAAAAGTTACTAAGTTTTATATTGTGTACCGTTCCTAATATTTCTAATCATTTTAATTCATACTTTAAGCTTTATAAAGTTATAATTTGTTAATATTAATATTTGCGCGTATTTCAGGTTCCTGATCATTCATTTTTTAAAGGTTTATAACTTTAAATTAAATTGTGAAGCGCTGAGTAATCATACGACGTTCAATATTCTTTCTTTCAATATGACTAAATAATCCCAATTATAGCAATCTGATACTCATGTCTCAATGTTTTTTCGCTGAATGTGATGAAAACATTTGAAAAAGGTTCGCTTATTGAAATAAATCTACACCAGTTAGTACTTCGATTTCCAGGTAAAGGGAAAAGGCTCATTATCTGCCATATTGGCAGTGAGGATGGATTTGTTGTTGACGGTCTGTGGTGCTTTGAGTCTAAGAAAACTGGAGATTACCACGAGGAAATGAATGGCGAATCGTTTGAACAGTGGTTTTCAAAAATTTTACCGAACTTAGAGGAAAACGCAGTAATTGTGTTGGATAATGCGCCTTATCATTCTCGAAGAATGGAGAAGGTCCCAACAACGGCTTCAAGGAAAGTTGATGTTCAAAATTGGCTCCGCTCGAAAAATATCAACTTTGAAGAAGCAATGCTGAAAGTACAATTATTAAGAATTGTCAAGGATCACAAGGCGGAATATCAAAAATACGCCATTGACGAAATGGCAGCAAGTCAAAATAAAACTGTGCTCCGTTTACCTCCATACCATTGCGAGCTCAATCCCATTGAGCTCATATGGGCAGAGGTTAAAAATTATATAGCTAAGCACAATACAACTTTTAAATTTTGTGACCTCAAAGGACTTTTCAAAGAAGCACTAGAATTAATAACAGCGCAAAAATGGGAAAACTGTATTAAGCACGTGAAAGACAAAGTTGAAAAGAGAATGTGGGAACTGGATAATATTTTAGAGGAACAAGTCGAGCCATTCATTATTGACGTTGGTGCTTCAGGCAGTAGCGATGATGAAAGCTCATCAAGCTCATCTTTCCAATAAAAGATGTCGTTCATCAAATTCGGTAAGTTATAAGTAATTATAAAGCTACTGTATTTTTTAATTAATTATTGACATTTTTGAACCCATTTTGGCAAAACCTATTCAAGAATCTACTTTCTGACAATGTTCAACCATGCACTTTTTTTACGTTTTGAACGTTTTAATTTGGTTACATATTTACCTAGAAATCAAAAAATATACTAATCAATATTCTTAGTAGTAATTTTAAGAGATATACGATTATTTTTAATTTAGGCTAATTTAAACGCCATTATGAGATTATATTCGACTGTATTTCACCAAACATCAGGCGGCATCCGAAGCTGGAAATCGAAGCAAAAATTTTGAAACCCTTATGTATATTGACATCATTATATATTTCTTACCCCACCCCCACATGATCCTATATCCATCACCAATCGTATACACATCGAATTGTGCTAATTTACTACAAAGTTACGCAAAGCAGCATCTACTATCTAAAATATGTACTGCGTGACTCTTAATACGTCCCTGCCGAATGTTACAGCGTTCGATGATCACGTGGTCTTGTTTATGTCCGGTCTATCTCTTATCTGAATATACTATATGTTTAGTGCTTATGTTACTTGTGTCTGGGATATGACGTTGAACAGTGGAGCTCTTATGTTAGTGCTTTGAAAAATGTACTAGGAAAAATCTAGCAATCATTAGGCTGACGCCACACTGGAAGTGGCAGCCTTAGCGGCAAAAGGTATGTTGACGTTGTGCTTGATAAATTCGAACACGTAGATCGTCAACCGTGTTCATCTCACTTTTATACACTAAACATTTCATTTCGCCCCAAACTAAAAAAGAAATCATGAATTCTTCTCCATTTTTTATATTGTTCAACCATCTTGTTTACAGCAAATGAAAACATTTTGTCAAAATTACAAATTCTACAAAATATAGTTATGAGAATCATTTTAAATAAAAACTAATATGCTAGGATTGAGTCTATGTTAGAAGAACTGCAATGGTTGTATGTGAAAAATTTCATATATTATTTAGTTCTCGTTTTCATATTGAAATTAAAAAATCATTTATTACCAGCACATTTAGAGAACTTCACAAAATTAAATAGTCGTTATCATAACTACGAAACTAGAGGCAGCATAGATTTTCATCTGCAAAATTGTAATAGTAGACTAACTAGTAAATCTGTATTTCAAAAGGGAGTATTTGAATTTAATAAATTGAATAATGATATTAGAGTTCGAAAAATGTTTAGGGTGAAATTAAAAAATCACTTTATGAATAATCAAAATACATAGTGACGTAATATAAATTCTAATAGACAAGAATGTAAAATTGCAGAAAATGGATTGAAGAAAAATATGTAACCGAATCATTATACAAAATTAACATTGTAGCATTAATGCTAAATAAATCTTCAACAACAAAAAAAAACAATCTTAAAAAACGATCTGCATGCTCTCTCGAAACCTCGGTAGCATTGCGAAGAGAATCGCCATGGATTAAAATAATATGGACAACTCCGATATTGCTGTAAGAGTGTGCCATTTTTTTTAGAACCGATGTGTAAAGGTTTTGTTTGAATACGCGACTAGCGTCTGGATTGAGCATTGATCCTTATCGTACGTGTTCGCGTAGCCTCTTGACATCCTGGATACATCTAAATAAGTTTACCACTTGCGGTGAAGGCCAGCCTTAAATTTATACAGCCTGTTTCACAACTTATCCGACAAATTTTAACCACCGTATGCACTGTTACGAAAGAAGTTGATTTCTCAAAAAAAAAATGTGATAAAAGTCCTACATAAATCGAGATAATAAAATAATACATTCGGTGTGCATACAAACGAGAAGCCGCTTGAGAATTTTGCCTGCTTCTCCGTACGCTAAAACAATGTCCACTAACTTCTCATTAGTGTACACGTATACCATTTTTATTAATAAACAACTAAAACATAAAGTCGCATAATACTTTCTTATTTAACTTCACAGAAATCGACCATTCTTCATTCAGATCACCCACGATACAGATTAAACCTTATTTACACGTTTTTATCAGTATGAAAAAACAAAAAATTCCTGGCTATATTTTGTTTTTGTCAGTTTCTACAATAAATTACTAATGCGCGTTCTAATATCACGACGATGAACGAAAAATACAGATATTTATTTTTCAATTTATCATTGAAACTCAAGTTTATAACTTAATTTCTGTAGGACTTTTAACTTTTATTACTTTTTTTTTGAGAAATCAACTTCTTTCGTAACAGTGCATATGTGGTTAAAATTTGTCGGATAAGTCGTGAAACCCCCTATAGGGGCAAGAATACAAAGAATTCCACTGGTATTGTGAGAGCAACGGTGGTGGTGTCACATGACATTTAAACATATTTTCTTAAAATTAATTCGAAAGGATGCCGATACACAATAGGTGTTTGTGCTAGCTGCTGTGGGGCCGCTAGCGATTTTTTTTATTGTTGCAGCGGATTCTTCCGCGGCGATTCGCTCCTAGGAACTGTCAAGGTCGAGTTGCAGCCGTTGGAGACTCGATGTGAGATACACGACAGTTTTGATGTAAGTAAACAGGAAATATTCGATGTTATAGAGTGTATTGTGAATTTTTAAGTGTTATCCGGAATGCCATGCAGATGTCGGCAACCAGTCGTACGGTCGCTAGTGCGCGACATAGATTTTTTATACTGGACAAACTTTTACAAATTCACACACACAATTTTCTATTTTTACAAAATACAAAACGTGTTCCTTTTTTTGTGCAGTTGCTAGAAGGTAGAAAGAAGGTTGGCGGTAAACTGGAAATCCAGATAAGATTACGCAATCCTATTGTCACGCAGCAAGTGGAGCAGATCAAAGAAAAATGGCTTGTTATTGATCAGTAGCATATTTATTTTATTTTATGGATGTATGTGTATATATTTTATTATTCTGATTAAAGTGAATCCAATCAAATCATTGCGTTGGGCTGATGTAGTGCAAAAAAAATATACCAAAAACCGAAATGTGACAGAAAGAATAAAAAATCTGGATTGAAACTCAAATCATTGTTTTTACTGCAAAACTTGACCATAGTTAACCTTGTCCAATAGGAGGAAAATATTAATAAAAATATTTTTTTATCTATGATAGATGTAGAATCGCTGGTAGACCTGACAAAAAAGTTCAGCATTTTTTTAAGATTAAATTTCCACGATTTTAGAGAAACGTGCAATTTTTTTATTCTCTCTGCATTTTATCCAAATGATGTCATGTGAATTATAGTATTAATGTAAAGCTTTATTGTGTGTATTTAAAATTGATTGATGAAGTGATATAAAATATGTATATATTGTGCAATGCTTTTATTGGTTAAAGTTCTATTCGAAAAAAAAATGCAACAGCAAAAAATACACCCAGTGTATCTAGCATCATAGAAGCGCTCTAATGAAAAGCAAATGTTTTTGTAGTGCTTCTGAGATCCTGTGCCTTTAATTGGTTTTCTGTATACTTTTTCTAAATATATGTTTTAATCAGGACTTTGGTTTTATTTATCGTATTGTCATTGAACTGGACGGAAGGGCTAGCAAAGCATTTTCTCTCCCCTGACAATTGAATTGGTACCTAAAGTTTGCGTATTTAACATGGCTTTGGAGATTTTTATGATTTAACCCATTTTCTCCTCGTCTCTGAGAAAATTTGATACCTGCCTTCAAAAATTTGTTTGGCTTATTAACAAAAAGTTGGCTCTTCACGATGCTCTCTGATAAAAATTCCTGCAGACGGCCATGTGCAGCACCCTGTAAAAACGTTTTCCGCTACCAAATCGGTTAATGGCGGACGAGCAATGTACTGAATTTTTTGTTTCGTGTTATCGATTTTACATGATAAATTTAGTATCATATAAAATGTTTTATTTACGTATTGATGTTCTGTCAATACAATTCAATGAAAAAATAAGAGAAACCAACCATCACACTCTATGCATTCCTGAAGCCTCTAATGGGTAGACAAAACTGCAGCTTCAATTTCGGCTCTCGGTATGTTACGTATTGCATTACGAATATCTTCTCTGGTTGTAGGTTGAGGCTGAAACACGATGTCCTTTAACCGTCCCAGAGACAAGTTAAGTCTGGTGGTCGCGAAAGCCATGGAAACAGACCTCCTCTTACTGCATCCTGCATTAATAGGCTTTCGTACAATGATAGCAAAATGTGCTGGGCAACCCTGCACCTGCAAAAACAAGTTTTTCCGTAATTCCAGTGGCACATCTACCAACAACAACGGTAATCGATTGTCCAAAAAGCCAAGAAAGACATTGTCATTTAGGGATTGCCCAATAATTCTCTAATATTTTCTTGTGTTCTTCCAATTCTTTGCCGTTGAGACATAGGCCGAAAGCTAACATTGGCTTGTAAGCTCGCCACTGTTCGGGGAAAAACTCTCACATCGCAAAAACGCCGATTTGGATATCAAGTCGCGCGAAAGCTTTTTGCTACTGCGGCATTCTGAAGACATTCAAATGAAAATGACATTTCATTGCTGTATGGATATAACCCTGTAATTTATATGCAATAAATCCTGCTAGATTTTCTAAACCATCCCACTCTTGATTTATTGATTTTATGATCTCCAAATTCAACCTTTGTGTGCTGAGAGAAGTACTTTGGTGATTTCATCAAATGAAGGTAAGGTACTGCATCACTTTTCAACTTCCATTTATTTCCATAACCAAGCAGCAAAACAAAAACTCGACTATACAGGGTGTTCCTTAATGATTTACGAACCGCTTCAGATATTTCATTGATATTTAGTACGTAGTGAAAGTTAATAAAGTTGCATATTTTTGAATACAAGAATAATTTTTAGCTTTAACAGTGGCGTGCGTACGAGTGTTGAGTTCGATATTTTTTAAGAAAAAGGTGGTACGCCAAGTGTCCAGCGATCTTCTACTCGTTTCAGGATGTTCTTCGACTTCGTGCAGCACTGCTTCCTCAATTTCAGGTGTTCTCACGCTTATAGGTCTACCTTCAGATGTTCCTTTTCGGACAGAACTAGTTTCAACAAAACGACGATGAATATTAGATCTGGCAAAGCACGATCGGGATATCTCTGGTGATAAATCCGTCTGGGTTGTTCATCATTACCGTCGGCAAGGCCATATACGTAATACATTTCCGCCATTTCTGCATCTGAATTATTCACCATTATTAACAAGGTTGTAGAAACTAAATAATGAAAAAGACGTCACAGGGAACAGATTTGAATAACAGAGACTTGTCAAATGTCAAAAACCAATGACATATTCCAGAGCAACTAGATATTTATTTCTAAATTGCATTCTTCAATTATTACGTTAATTTTCTCGGACAATAGAACGGTTTTTATTTTTTTACTCAAAAATGGCGCATCGAAGGAAAACAATTCAAGAGAGATCATTTGTTTTGAATTGAACGGGGAATTCAAAAATAATTTTTATTTGGCAAAAAATCATTGGCGTACCATTTTTTTCTAAAAAAATATCGAAGTCAATACCCGTAAGCACGCCACTGTTAAAGCTAAAAATTATTTTTGCATTGAAAAATATGCACCTTTATTAACTTTCAATACGTACTAAATATCAGTGAAATATCTGAAGCGGTTCTGAAAATATTAATTAATTTCCATTTTTTTCCTAAAACTTCAACACCCCGAGTTTTTGTAAGGAAAAATTTTTGGACCATAGTTTATAATGCAAATTAACATTAATTTTTCATGCAGATTCACACCCTTAAATATTCGCATATCATTAAGAATCACCCTGTATACTATTGAGACTGGACTATAATGGGATATCAGACAATGCCGAGCTTAGGGTATTATTTAATTTCAAATGACTCTAGAGACATTGTTTCAGATCCCTCATTTCATTTTTTGCTATTCCGTCACGCGGGCTCAGGGCCCCGTCGTGATGGGGGCCACCAAAGGCCCAAGAATCAAAATGTCCTGAGTGAGATAGTGAGTACGAAAAAGAGGATTTAGCCTTTACCTGGACGTCAATGCTTTTATCGATATAGTTTCTTTCTACTTAATACCCGATTTACATTGGCAATAAATCCAAGAATTTCTCCATGAATTCAGTTCATGGCCAAATTTCAAAAGTGTTAAACAAGTTGAACGTCAAATTCCATAGTGCCAACCTTGTTTTCCTTTCCACTATATTGAACAACTTCTCAATTCAAGTATAGGACTTTGTTACAACTACAGTGGTGTTGTGTTTGAGATTCGCCTCAAAATCAAAACCACCTAAAATCTCAAATGTTTCTAGAAAGATATTGTTTTGTGTGATGACAGATAATCCATCTGAATAAATTGGTGAACAAATTGTCGATGTGAAACGGGTATAACAAATATAACTATTTTCAAACCGTAAATAAACCGCGCCAAATACAGAGTCAATCTACTTGACCCAATTTTCTGAACCAGCGTACGAACTTTCATTACGGAATTCGGATTGTTTGCTTACAGTTTGTTTGGATTCACACCTTGGCGCTTCGACTGATTCTATTTTTGAATAGTAAATCCTGCCGTAAATCCCGATGGGCAAAGTCCGTGTGATCCAAAATAGAATCGGAACGGTGACTATCTAGACCACACACAATTTTACTATTACAATTCACACTACATTTTTATTACTGTGTGCTGAATTAAATCGTCCTTTGAAGCAAACAAGCGAAATAAAGATTGATATCGCGGAAAAAATCGTATTTCAGATCATTTTTGGGTCATTTGAACATACCATCCATAGTTAAACGGAATCGCTCAGCAACACTTTCTTGCATGAGTCAGTAGACTACACAGTCGAGCAAGATCGCGGCGCACTCAGTCCCAGAAGTCGACGTCAAGCCGAAACCGGGTGATAGGCAAAGTCATAACAGCTATCAGAAAAATATTTAAAAAAATTTTATGTATGTGTTTTGAAAATTATAGGTCTTTGAAAAAGATATAGAAATTTCACACCCTACGGCAGTCTGTCAACTCCTGTTACTGCAAATATTAACTTTTATTGGATTTTGTTTTTACAATGTAATGATGAATAATGCATCTTCAAACTGGTGTCTCAACCTTACTGCCAACTTTTCTCGTTCAGGAAAAATTGCCACTTATTTCCCAACCAAGTATTCCAAAGTAAAACTTTGCTCAACTTTAACTGGCTGTACTGGAAAAAAATGTACTGCGAGAGTTTGGCAAGTAACCTTAAAAGTTGGCGCATTTAATAACGATTCCAAAGTGGTATAACACTTAGAAGATTACTCGTTAACTTATGCACAATTTTTATTTGAAAAAATACTGATGAAAATTTTTCAAAATTTCCTAATTAAACAGCGATTATGAAAACGCACAAGGACCCTTAAGGATAACTGTTTGCACAACAGTGGGCGTCAAAATGCTGCTGATGATGATTTACCTTTACAGCAAATGCTCAAACTGTTTTCCTTCAGCCGCAATACACGCTCGACATCTTAAAAAAGATCGGGTTATTAAACGAGCGAATCCACGGTTATTAACAAACTCAGCTGCTTCCAATAGTCTTTGCCGTAGCTCAGCTACATTTTGAATCGGCTTGAAATACACTGTTTCTTTTACAGTTCCCCAGTAAAAAAATCTAAAGGATTCAAATCAGGTGATCGGGCTGGCCACGGTATTGTACCAGACAGCCTTATCCATCTGCCTGAAAAGTTTTGATCAAGATACTCTCTCACTGAGAGTGCATTAGTGCGCTGGGCAGCCATCATGCTGAAACCACATGTCCCTGCAAATACTCAGTGGCACGTCCACCAATAAATTTTGTACATGATTTTTCAAAAAATCCAAATAAACTTCAGCAGTCAAAGTCTCTGGGAACTCAAACGGACCGATTATTTTACCATTTAAAATTCCTGTCCAATGGTTTATCTTGAAGCGATATTGAGATTTATCTTCTCTCATCAAATGTGGGTTTGCTACGTGCCATTCGTGTAAGTTATGCAGGTTCATGTACCCATCTTTCTTAAATGTGGTCTCATCCGACCATAAAATTTTTTCGAAGAACTGTGGATCTTTCCTGTGTCTTTCTAACATTGTGCGACAAAAAGCAACTCGGGGCTCATAATCCCGGGGCAGGAGAGGTTGAACACGCTGTATGTGGTATGGATGAAGCACATCACTTACTTGCTATTGCACACTTTGATACCGATCAGTACTCCTTCGTTTACTGCGCATCTTTACATGTTCGTGCTTGTTGATTTCGTACTGTTACTAATTTTGGATTCGTGAACTGGACTGTTGATCTCTTGTGATTTGGATTTGGACTGTTTAATTGCTCTTCAAAACAACATTTGCTTTCCTTAGACTATCTTTGATAGTGTGATTGTGCAGTGCCGCTATGTCCGTGTACCCCGTACAAGAATATGCTAACATGCACCTCATTTATGGGGAATGCAGATGCAACGCTAGTGCTGCAGCGAGACTTTACTGTGAGAGGTACCCGAATGCAGCTCGTCATCCAGATCATCGAGTG